TTGGTTACCTGAGTACACTGTTATATAGTTTATACATAACTCAAGACAATTTCTCTGCCCTTAACTCGGCCCATGCAAGCCAGAGGTTGGCTGGACACCCACACCTTACAACTAAGCCCCCTTACCGCCTGCTCCAGGATCTCACCCTCCCGAGGGTCATCCTTGCTCCATGCCCAAGCCCCCGCCCCCTTTCCACCTTGCTAGGGAGAGTCTGGGCCACCGGTCCACAGCACTCTCTTCACGTTGGGTTTGTCTGTTTTCTCCTGATCTGTTCAGCATAGGCAGCCTCAGCAGGCCCCTGAGCCCCGCGCCTTTTTTACAGCACTTCCTAAATGGGAAAAGGTAACTGGTCTTTGCTTACCAACCACGCCTGTGGTCCCATCTCCAATTTCATCATCCTGGGATTTGGACAGCTCGACCATCAACTTGGCGATCTGATGGTCAACATCCATCATGCTTAGAATGGTGGCCCCATCATTAGTCACAGTGACATCGCCGTCCTTGTCTACCATCATCTTATCCAGGCCTAGAAGGAGCAGGATTTAGAAGGCGCATGAGGGCCGGGGCACAGCCAGTAATGTGCCGAGCCTGCACTTATCTGTGCAATTTACAGCACACAGGAAATACCTACACAGAGATGGTTTAGGCTAACCTAAAGCCACATATTGTAATCATCTAAATGGGACCAGAGAAAAGGTAAAGAAAAAAATGCTAACTGGGCAAAGTCTCCCCCACAAATGCATGCATACTGATACTCTGGCTATTTTAGGGGAGGTAGTAGGATGTCACCCCACCCTGTCCTTTTCTGTAGAGATTTTACTGAGTGCTCTGATCTGACACTTATTAAAAAACCAGGATTGTCAGACTCACCATTTGGTCCCAGTGATGTTCTCATTGTATTTGCTACTGCCTTTGCTGCCATTATATGAGACTAAATGAAACAAACAAAGCAAATAATTACACATAATTTCAAATACTTAGGAGTACACAGCTGATGATTAGAAAAGTCACTTATGACAGAATTTCTGTACTCCAGAACCTTCGACATTTAAGAGACTATGCACAGGTCTAGCTCCAAATGTGTTTAAACTACAGTGGTTCCTCAATTCATGAACTTAATCTTTGCACTATTTTGTCTGCAAATTGAATTCGATGAGAACTGACTCAAACTCAAGGGTTAGGCCAGGTGTGGTGGTGCTCGCCTGTAATCCCAGCACTTGGGAGGCTGAGGCAAGGGAATCACAAGGGAATCGCTGCAAGTTCGAGACCAGACTGGGCTACAAAAACAAAGAAAATCAATGGTTAGGCTCACTGCTGACCTTACGGGGAAGAGTGATTTGGTTCTTGTTCCATTTGGTTTGTGCCAGCTTTAGGAGGCAATGTTCATGGAAGACAAACAGAACCAAGGATTTTGCTTGTGTTCTCACCTAGCCCTGTACATGTCGGCCGAGCAGATTCTCTCCATTTTATGATGGCAGGGAACATAGCCATGGCGCGCCTATGGATCTCCCAACTGTGAACACCCAACACCTCAAGCTCTCGCACTATGGCCCACGGCGGAAATGCAGTCATACGCCACTATGGAGCTCAAGCACAGAAGCCACTTTTCCTATGGAAGTTGTTAGAAAGATCAGTTTCCAAAGATGGAAAGTTCTATGCAGTGGCTGGGAATTTAGCAATGGGGATTCTTCGAGGCACATGATCAGGTACACAACTGTTTTCACCTGGTTATTCTTTCACTCTAAAAATCTTCAACCTGTGAAGTTCCAGTTGCATACAACTACAGATCAAAGGGTGCTGTCAAGAATATTACTGTTAGTGTAATTAAGACAGCTGGTATTTCTCCTCACCACAGCTAGCTACTAAACTCAGTGGCAGGTAGAAATTCGAATTCTGTTTCTAGAGAGGAATCTCAGCATGAAGCACCAGCCGCTGTAGACTGAGTACTGCACTAAACAGGAACTTAAGTTTGCCGTTTCGGGTCACAACTTTAGAACACAGCTCCTTCCTTAGCTAAACGCTGCATTTTAAGGCAAATTACGGTGAACTGTCACACAACTGAAGACTCTCAACACATTATTACCTTTAAGATTCTAAATGCCAAAGGAAAGACTAGTATTTCTTGGAAAAAAATAAGGTGAAGTTTTGGAACTTCAGGGTGACACAGTCAACTGCTATGACAGAGTTCCTTCTGCTGCCCTCAGGTTTTCATGCATTTCGGTCCTCTCTGTAAGCAGCTGTAATTCCATGAGGCTGGGACCAAGCATACATCCCTAAATTGGGCAGCAGCCCCCCAGAGCATCTAATTCTCATGACACGGTCGCTCAGGTTCCATCCCATAACCCTGACATCTTGATGTCCACACTGTGCAACAGTGGTGTTGAGCCTGTGGCACACGTGGGCACACAGGGCCCTGTCAGCACGCGAGCCACGCTGCCTGCCACTGCCCTAGCTGCTGGGCACTTAGGTTGCATTGCAGTGTTGCCGTTTTGGGTTAGGTAAGCGGGTTTCAGGTTGCCGACAGGCAACTCGGCTCTAGAAGGTTTGCCATCACTGACTAAAAAATATGGGAAATAGGTCTTGCTGCCATATCTGGACAGAGAAATGTTTGGGATCAATTCCAAGAGCATGGGACTCCTAGACCTCAACACCGAAGGCCGTGAGCTTCAGCTCTTCAAGCATCTCCAGTCTGACAACCAGGTCCTTTCTGACACCAAACTCGTCTTCTGGGCTCGAGGTACCAATGCACAGAAAGCCTTCACCCATCAAAACCCCGACCTGCTTTTTAAAGCAGTTCCAAGGCACGTGTCCAGCAGCCTTCTCAGGCCACTCAGCTGGCACCTTCAAAGCACACACAGTTCACTCGGGCTATGAAAATCCTGGCCCCATGACCATTAAACACTTTCGAAAGTTACACTTTTATGTGGAATCTAAAAGGATACTCATCAGAGGAAAGGTGTTCTTAACTAGGAGGGACAGTCTGTCCCCAAAAGACACCTCCGTAGCTGGACACATCTTGGCTGTCAAAGCTGAAAGGGGGATGGCCACTCCTGGCACACAGTGGGGAGAGTGCAAGGGATCCCTGCTCATCATGCCATACAGGAGAGGCCTCCACAGCCAAGAATGTGCTGGTCACGTGCTGAGAATCCTACTCTAGACCACTGGCTCTGACCTGGACAGAGATGGGTTTCGATCATGTCCTGTTATTTACTTACCTTCCAGTACTTTTTGAGACAGGATCTCACTGTGTTGTGCAGGCTGGCTTTGAGCTCACTGTGGTTCTTCTGCCTCATCCTCCTGAGTACATCACTACGTCCAGCTATGGTCCTGTTATTTAGCAGCTACATGACTCTGGTTAATTTTGCACCTACTTGGGTCCCCAGTTTCCCATTCTGTGTAACAGTACCAGGATCTCAGTGTGAGGGTTACATGCAATAATCCAAGAGATTAGCACAAAAAAGCTAATTCAAATTAACACACTTTTCATTATAGTGTTAAATGAAAGTTATGTTACTTTAGAAACTGTGGATCTCTTTAGGTGAAAAATAGTATGTATTACAAACATTTAGCCTCTTATAAATCAGGTGTGGCTTGTAATCCAGCACTCAGGAGGCTGAGGCAGGAGGATTGCTCAAAGTTCGAGTCCAGCCTGGACTATGAAGTGAGTGCAAGGCCAGCCTAAACTGCATAGTGAGACCCTGTCTCAAAACCTTAAGGGCCCTCTCAAAGCACCCCTCCTCTGCATCTCTGTCAACATCTGGACTCTTTCAATGGTTGCATTCTCTGCTCTTCCTTTCTCTCTCAATTCAGAGATGACTCCCACTGCACCACTCACTATCCGGATTGTGTTCAATTAAAAATGATTTTTCTCCTGCCCCAATACTTAGCTGTCTTCTTCCTCTAATGGCACTTCCACTCTGATCTATCTGCTATCAAATGTGGAAGAGTTCTCTCCACTCTTACCTGCATCCCTTCCTATGTGGTCCTCTGCTCTCACCCCGCCTATGATTAGCATTACTTGTATCCATTTTACACGCTTGCAAATTACTTTCTTGTCCAAGTGTTCTATTTATTTTTAAGACACGGGATTTAGGATTGTGCCGTGCTCAAAAACTACCTTGCAAATGACAACTTGGATGAATGACAAAGCAAATCTGCCTGCGTTTCTTCAGGACGTGCTGCCCTGGTGGGACAGGTGACCCAGCTCGGCTTTCCTGCTTGGCCTGACGCAAACCCAGCCCGGCGGGGCGGCCGGGCTGCAGCACCGCGGGAAAGAAACCTGCTGGCGGATGGAACGAAACTGCCCCTGGGCCTCGCTCCGAAGGGCGCTGGGGACCCATCCGAGCTCCGCCTTCCCACTAGGGGGTAATCTGCCGATCTTCGCTGAGCTGGGGGAGTAGGGGTGCGCGACTGCAACCGGGGTTGCCGCGGAGAGGGTTCTCGACTTTTCCCGGCAGCACGTGTGGCTGAACAAACCGCTCCTGAACTTGCGCAGGCGCAGAAACACCGCTCCGGCAGCCTCCCCTCATCCCACTGCAAACGGATCCCGGGCCGTTACCTTGAGGGCCTCAAGTCCCATAAGACGAGTCTTGCGTTCTTGATCCTTGATAATGAGGAAAGGGCGTCCATATTCGTCGAAAGCAAGGGTACCTACGGACGTCATGGTGTAGCTGCAAGATTTACTTTCCCGCACACCCGCGGTGATCACTCCCGAACTGAGAAAGCGCCTTCCTGTCGCCGGAGGAAACGGCAGTTTGCACATGCGCAGTGCAGGCACTGTGAGATTTATTTGTCGACCGAGACTAGTTTAACGCCCTACAGTACCTTCTGGAATTAGCGGTTTTTGGAAACTTCCATCATTCAAGAAATTGTAGGGGGTGAGCTTGAAGACCCTAAGGGAACATTTAGTTCTCAGAACCAAGAGTAACTAGAATTTAGTCATACATTAAAGCTTAATTACCGAGTTTTTGAGTAGTGTGTCCCCACGAGAAGTTCTTTTACTTTGAAACCTTTTCTCCCTTTATCTCGCCCTGGCTCCGAGAAGATGGTAGAATCCACTTCCGTATTTTATTCTCAGGGAAATCTCGCGATGGAGGGAGGAGAAGGTGAGGCCGGAACGGCATGGCGGCTCCCTTAAGACCTGGGGAAGGGACTAGGGGATTTCTTGGGATGGCGTGCAGGCGTAATTGGGGGGCTCTCGGGAAGGATCTGTCGTCACGATCGGGCACGTCCCTCTAGGCTTGCGGGCTGGCTGAGGTCGCAGGCGCCTGGTGACCTGCGGGGATCGCTGTCATTGCCGGGCATCACACAGCCCGGCCGCCTACTCACAGCGTCTTCGGGAAACTGTCAGCCTTTTTGTGCCTCAGCTTTCTTGTGTGCAGAAATGTCTGTACTAGCAGGGAGTGTCCTCTTACAGGGCTGTTGTAAGGAGCCAGGGAGAACAGTGCCTAGTCTTCCACACGCAGTGTTTTAAGTATTTGTCGAACCCTTCATTTGCACACATCATCCAGTAACGTGCCCTAGGTTATACAGATTCTAAGAGACAGATTACACAGCCGCGAATGGTGGCACATACCATACCCCCCATTCTTCGTGAAGCAGATGTAGCTAAGACATGGACTACACGGACTACAAAGGAAGACGCAGTGTTTAAAAAGACCACAAAACAAACAGCTTACTCTGAATCCCCACGGGCCCCACTATTAAAATCCTTTTTTCTTTTCTTAATCGTGGCAGTGCTAGGGATTGAACCAAGGGTATTTGCACTAAGCTATATCCTCAGCCCTTTTTGTATTTATAAATGTTGAGATGAGATCACTGAGTTGCCAGGTTGTGATTCTCCTGCCTCAGTTTCCTAGAATGTTGAAGCTACAGGCTACAGATGTGTGTCACCATAACTGAATTTTTTTTTTTTTTAGACACAAGATCTTGCTTTGTAGTCTTTGTTGGTAGGGACCTACCTGCCTCAGCTTCATGAGGAATGGATTTATGGGCATGTGCCACCATTCTTGGCTGGTGTTTATCCCCTGTGTTGTGTTTCATTAGAGAAGTGTTTTCAGGTAACCAACTAGTTAGTACCTCACTTAGATTTACTGTGAGTTTACAGTTTCCTCACCCCTACTGTCATATTATTTCCAGCTCTTATTAGGTACTCAATAAATTTTGAAGTGTTTGCCTGAGTTTTGTTTAGCTTTGGCCTGCGGACCAAGAATTGCATCTGTCACTGGATGATCTGTGATCCATTATCCTCTGCAAATATCTGGCCCACTGCCTCACTAGTGTTAGAGGGAGGCTCCAAGAGCATTTTATGTGTTGTTATTATTTTGGTACCGGGGCCGGAACTCACGACCTTGCACTTGGAGGCAGGCGCTTGTGCTACTGAGCTAAACCCTTGGCCCATTATGTATTATTTCTTAAAGAATATTTGTTATTGGCACAGAATAGTGAGATACTGGCACATGAGTCCAAGGGCACTTTAGATTTTGTAGTTGGGACTCATTTCACCCATTTCTGTTTTGCTGAGTTGATATTTCCTTATTCAGAAAAACAAATCTTGCCACCATTTACTCATTCACATGCTGTGAAATATAGAAAATGTCTAATGGTATCCTATGTGCAGTTTTTTTTTTTGTCAAAACAGTGTGTGTGCTGGGTGTGGTGGTGCATGCCTGTAATCCTAGCATGCTAGAGACCAAGGCAGGAACATCGCTGAGGGCCAGCCCCAGAGGCCAAAAGGAAAACAAAACAAAAAAAAAAAACAACCTCTAGAAAACTGCATGTGTGTGTGTTTTTTCTTAATATAGCAAAGGACACAGATGATACCAGACCAGTATAAGAAGGCTTCTTAAGGCACACGTTCTGTAGTTGTTAAACTAGCGTGCATATTCAAGTGCACAGCAAATGGTCCTTAAATGTTGACCTTCAAATATAAACCCTACCTAAACCATATGCCTGGTCACAGTCCCCAGTGACCGCGTTCCTGCCTTTTCCTTTTGAAATTGAGAAGAACCCTGTGTAAGTTTTTATATATCTTGTACATCTGCCTCTAACTTTAGCTGATCTCAATCTGTCCTTAGAGGCAATGCCTGGGGAGGACAGGAGAGCACAAGTTAAGCTTGTGCTGTTCTTAACTTGTAAGAGTGGGTCCCTACGTGGTCAGTGGGCACCACAGCCCTTATTTAATAGAATGGCTCATTGTTCAGTAGAGCACATCTGACAGAAATCTCTTACCATTTATTTACATTGTAGTAAACTTGCAAATCTAAGCAATGGTCCATCGAAAGGATTTGTTGAAATACTCTTGATTCAGGGCTGGGGATTTAGCTCAGCGGCATAAGCGCCTGCCTTGCAAGCAGGCACTCGTGAGTTCGATCCCCGGTACTGATAAAAAGGAAAAAGACAAAAAAAAAAAAAAAAAAAGAAATACTCTTGATTCTAAGTTTGAATTTTCAGGGGCTGGTTTTCATTGATTAAAAAATACAGCTTTCACTGAACAGAGCTACCAGTATAGTTGCATTGGATTTACATAGTAACATTTTTAAAAGCAAGCCGAGGGGTATGGCTATTGGTTTCTGCATACAAATCTTTGTGCGGTTGAAAAACTTGCAGGCATAAGAACCTAAGAAGGAAAATATGATTTTTGTCAGGTGACACATTGTTCCTGGTATTATCTTTCTTAAAAATGTAAATAAGGTAGCTTTGTTTTGTCCTCTTGTACGCAGAATAAAATACACACATCCTGATATTCAGAGCCAAGCTTTCCTGTGCTCAGCAAAGGGTTCCCCACCACCTGGCTGTGGTTTCCAGGCTTATTTCTTTTGCCCCTGGCTCAGATTCCGTCTCTGCCAATACTCGCCGGTCCCACTGTTGGACTCAGCCTTCCTTCTCCTCTCTGTTCCCCAGGGTCTGACGCCCACAAGTCTTGTGCCTAGGAGAGCATGCCAGCCAGTGTCTGCTTCAGTGGAAGTGTCCATGTTTATGCAGGGGAAATTAAGATCACCTGACTTGTGTGAATTTCATAACCTGTCCCTGCACAAATGGGTTTTAAAAAGTCACATACCATTCAGTCATACAAAGAAATGCCAAGCTGATAGAAGGTATACCGCGGAACTAGGTACAGCAGCAGCACGTCTGTAAACCCCAGCCACTTGGGAGGCTGAGGCAGGAGGATGGCAAATTTGAACCTAGCCTCAGCAACCTACTGAGACCTTGTTTCAATATAAAATTTTAAGAAAGGGCTGAGAATGTAGCTCAGGGATAGAGTGTCCCCGGGTTCAGTCCCCAGTAATACACACCCACACACACATCTTGAGGCCATTAGGCTAGGTCAGGAGCTGCTGGAAAACAAGGGCACTGCTCATACCTCAGAGCGTCCAGGAGGACGGCAGCCCTGCTGCCCTGCTGTAATTCTCTCCTCCAGTACTGTGTGCTCACACACGAGTGTTTTGCACATCTCACGTGGCAGTTTCTTCAAGCAGTTATGAAACCGCCACAGTTGGGCTGTGAGCCGAACGCCTCACTGATGGTGAAGCCGCAGATGCCTGCTCTGTGGTTCTCCATTTGTTCCCCTGGACTGGCCTCACCCCTTGCTGGCTGGTGGGCTGCTGCTCTGGGGAAGACGGTCAAGCTCCTGTGGGGTTGTGTGTGTAAATGGTGACAGCTGAGAGCTTCTCTGCCTCCCATGTACCTGTCCGGGTCCTGAATGCTGTACCACCCACTCCTTTCATCTTCACATGGGGGGGCCCGCTTTGCAGGGGGGTGGTAGGGGTTCAGCAGGGAGGGGATTTGGGGGTCACTCCAGGAGTAAAGTGACCCAGCTGGCATCGCTGCAGTGGTCTTCAGTGTGGCCCTGCTCCTGTGTCCCCATAGGAATCAGTATCAAGTCCTTATTTCTCCCGGGTGGGGATGAGTCAGAGCAGGGGACGTAGGGCGACATCGATTTCTCTATGGTCAGTGACCAGCATCTGTGTGCTTTATTCCATGCCTGGGATAGTGCAGAAGTGACTTATCTTTTGTTCTTTTTGATCTGCTCTAGGAGGTCTCTTTGTTATTGTACTTGTTTGGTAAGCCTGATTTTTGTTCCTTCTGTTACTTCAAAATTGTGTTTCTGCCACTCAGTTACAGATGTCAGACCACATGGATGTGGAATCCTTCCCTGTACTGAAATAGGGCAACAGACATTTTCATGCTCATTTATCTATGAGGCTTTCTTCACTCAAAAGATAAAAGTGGGGAGTTTGTGGTTATGATTTGTACAAACGGGCATTGAATTAGTAAATTACTGGATCAATTTTTTGTTTCTTGAGACAGGATCTTACTACATAGTTCAGGCTGCCCTGTGTAGCTCAAGCTAGCCTCAGGTGATCCTCCTGCCTCAGCCTCCCTAGTGCTGGGATTATAGATGTGTGCCACTATGCCCAGCCACTGCATAAACTGTGCTATGTTATTAGGATGACTCTGAGACACACATAAAATCAGTATATTGGGAAGAAGAGATTTCAGGTTTTTATTTTAAAAATTGTTTTGAGATGGTCTCACCGTGCAGTTTCAGCTGGCCTTGAACGCACTGCGAAGCTCAGGCCAGCCTGGCACTCGTGGCCTCCTCCTGCCTTGGCCACCGGAGTGCGGGGATTGCAGGTGTGCACACGCTGGCCTTCGCGCATCTGTTAGTGCGGAGTATATTCCCCCATCACCTTAGCCTTGCCGGTGTGGGCTCACTGTGGAATCCTGCCTTTTGATTATGACTGCCTCAGACCAGAGCAGTCGGACCTGCTCAACAATCTGTTTGTCAGTTGCGCAGCGTCCTGGTCCCTGCTCAGCTTGTGCCCCTCCTGTTTTCTTTGCCCTCGCGCAGGTGCACCCCGAGACGGGTACGGGGGATCAAGGCAGCCTGCACCGGATCTCCCCGCGAGGTCGGAGGCTGGCGGCTCCCAGCGGACCAGCTGGGGGCTCCTGCTCACGGGCGTCGCCGGCGGGGCGCTGGTGGCCCTATACGCCGTGGCCACGCCGTTCCTCACCCCCGCCCTCCGCAAGGTCTGTTTGCCTTTCGTACCAGCGACTGCCAAGCAGATCGAAAACGTGGTGAAGATGCTGCGGCGTAGGCGAGGGTCCCTGGTGGACGTGGGCAGCGGCGACGGGCGCGTGGTGAGTGGTACCGGAGCCCAGCTTCTGGTAGGAACACCGAGCGCGAGGGCCTGCCGGCTGGAAGCCACGGCTGGGAAGGGCTGTTTCATCTCGCGGGTGCGTGGCCAAGCTGGGGGCCACCAGCACATGTGTGGAATTCTTGCCTCTCTGATTTAATTTTTTCTTACATGAGAAAATGCAAAATACTGGGTAAAAGAAGGGCAATTCATTACTAATTATCAAATAAGTGTTCAGATTCGTGGCCAGTAGAGGTTGTGTAGTTAGAAGGGACTGCAGTGATAGTTTCATGTTTTTGCATTTCTCGTATTTCTATATTTGGGATTCCTGTGGGGTATTGCAGAATTAAAATGAAGAAGAGGTGGTGGTGAGCCCCCACTCAGCTGAAGGGTCAGACATTTGGCCACTTGCTTCCCTTTGACCCCAGCTGGAACATACTCATATGCATTCTGTCTCACCTACTTACCACCTTGCCCATTTTTGGGTGAGTTCTCTCCCAGCCATCGCTACCCCTCCTCCCCAGAGCTCTCCATCTCACGGTGAAACTCTGAAGTTGTTAAGCAGTAGTTCCCCAAACCATTCTCTCCCCCGGTTCTGACAACCGCTAGTGCTTATTTATTTATCTAATTACTTACTGTCTTTTTTGGGACAGAGTCTCACTATGCAGTGAAGACTGGCCTTGAACTCACTTTGTAGCCAAGCTGGCCTCGAGTTGGGAGTCATCCTCCTGCCTCAGCCTTCTGAGCTGGGATTGCAGGTGTGCACTGCCGCACCCAGCTAACATGTGCTCTGTAATGGGATTTTTTTTTTTTTTTATTGGTACCAGGGATCGAACTCATGACTGTGCCCTTGCCACTGAGCTAAATCTCCAGCCCCTCTTGTAATGGGATATTTTAAGATGATAAACTGTAAATAAGTAAGAAACTAGCTTACCACCTGACCGTGGGAATTGATTTTTCTTGTTTGTGATGTGTCTTGGCCCCTCCTTAGGTGATAGCCGCTGCAAAGGAAGGATTCACAGCGGTGGGTTATGAGCTGAATCCCTGGCTGGTTTGGTACTCCCGGTACCGGGCTTGGAGAGAAGGCGTGCGTGGCTCAACCTCATTTTATATTTCTGATTTGTGGAAGGTATGTAAGGTAGAAAATGGCCCTCATAATAGTCATCAAGAATTTTATTATCACAAACACTGAAAGACTTGTTAAGAGAAAAATACTTAAAAAATCCAAGCGAATATTGTGCCATGGTGAAATGTGTTTACATTTTAACCTGATAGATTTTGCAGGCAGGTTCAGCTTTAGGGCTGAAGCTTAGCGCTCTCAACAGGATGGGGCAGTGGTGGCGAACCTGTGGCACGCATGCCGACGTAGGCTGTTGATGTCACTGAAAGCTCTGAAAGGTTTGCCATCGTTGGGATAGGTCATGTGAATCCCACCAAGTTATTTACTAAGTTGAAATGTTCTGATTCTGTTTGTTATGAAGTGATGAGATTTTGCATCTCCCTGGGAGGTGCTGTGTAAATTATTCTGTGTAAGTCATGCAGCTCTTCTTTTCTTGTCGTCTGTGTGCACACTTGTGTGTTCAGACAGAGGCTGAGATGGGTGATGGGAGGAGAGTGTGTCCACCAACCAGGCTGCCCCGGTGACTTCTGGTCCTCGTAAGAGCGGGATTCTTCAGAATGTATCTGTGCTCTCTAAAGCCCTGTAGTTTTGTTTTAAAAATGCTCCATACTACATATTTTTAAATAAGACTTTCCCACTGTAATATTGTCATCAGTAGCTTATGAAAATTCACTTGAGTTTTGCTTGTATTGTTTTTCATACAATCTATAACCGAGTGATGTCACTACAGAGTGAATAAGACTTATTGGGCAATAAGAGTTTTGACTGGCAAAGCCTTCCCCCACTTTTTCAACCATTTTATTGTACATTTTACATAGTACTTAGAGCAGAAGGGAGGATTAGAATTCTAAGGATGGTTCACGTGAAACTGGTGGCTCTGAAAAACTAAGACAAAAAGCCCAGGTAGCTCTGAAGTTTTTGCTTTTGCTTTTTGGGGTGGAATCTTACTTCCTATCCCCTGCTGGCTCTGAACTCACTACTCACAGGTTGGCCTTGAACTCACAGGGTTCCTCCTGCCTCAGCCTCCTCAGTGCTGGAATTAGAGCGCCACCATGCCCAGCTGTGCCTCGTGTCCTTGCTGAGCTGATTCTGTGCATGTGGAGTGGAGTGGTCACTGGGTCTTGCTGGCCTTTCTGACACAGGGACCTGGGGTGGGAGCTGAGTTACAGGGAGGTGTCTGGAAGTGGGCGGACGGGACTGGCACCAAGGGCAGTGTGAGCGCAGCCTCTGTGCTTCGTGCTTCCTCTTCTGCTTCTCCAGAAGCCACCCTGGCAGATGGGGAACTGCCGCTCACTTCCGTGAGCTGAGGGAAGCTGGAGTCTGAGTTTCTAGAATAACCTCCCCCTCACTTCCCTCTTCCCCCTAGGTCTCCTTCTCCCAGTACTCAAACGTCGTGGTCTTCGGGGTGCCTCAGATGGTGAGTGTGACCCTTTCTGGGCTCCTTCCACACCCTCAGGTGGCCCCTCTCCCTTCCTCTGGCAGACGAGGGTCTGAGAATGCGGGTCTTCAGTTCAGCGGTTTAGTAAATACTCCAGGGCCTGACAAGCTCCGTGGTAGGAGATTGAGTCCTAGTTTCAAACTTTTGTTTCAGATAAAAATCTCAACCATGTCCCTGAGCCTTAAAAATTCCAGTTCAAAAACTGCTTTAGGAGGTGTGGGTGGCTTGTGATTTTCACAGCTGCTTGCTCCTCCGCAGCCAGCCGAGCCAGCCGATATCACTTGGGGAGGTTTATGGTGTGTTCCCTTTGAATGGCTCTTCCTCCAATTTTGCAGGAAGATAATTTTCGGGGTGGATAAGCATTGACTAGTTTCACTGTACCTCAGCTGACCGATTTGCGGAGGAGCTGAATGAATATTGAACTTGGATTATGTACTTTCCCAAATGAAGAAACCTCGGAACTGTACTGAAAACGGTCCCTTGGCCATCAGCAGGATGGGCGGGGCGGGACGCTTCTGCTGTAACAAACTGCAGGTTTGCAGACCCGAGGGAGAAATGGCTTTGTAATTTCCACAGCCTGTAATTATTGCTGTAGTAGTGTTGGTGGGGGTTGATGTTTGCTGGGTTGGCTCGACAAGATTGTTTTTAACCTTAGAAAAGGAAATTTACTTCTATGTTGCTTTATTCATGCCTTCATTTTTATGTAAGAATTTCAGTGCGTGTGGAATTCATTCTGTTAGGATCTTCAGTGTGTTACCATTTCTTCCTTCTTTCCTTTGTTTCTTTTGAGACAGAATCTTGCTGTGTAGTCCAGGCTGCTGTCGAGCTCACTGTCTAGCCCATCTGCAAGCCCAGGCTGGCCTTGGAGGTGTAGAGATCCTCCTGTCTCAGCCTTGTGAGTGCCGGGATTACAGGCGTGCACAACTACGATTTCTTTCATTGTTTAAGACAATTTAGAAATGCTTTTGTTGTCTGCTCTTAGAAATGAAGGGCTCTGTCTGCGTGTTTATAATTCTTACAGGGCTTGAGATTAAGACCAAATTTAGGTTGTCTGTGCTTTAGTCTGGAAGAGAAAACATGCAGAAGAGACTGATCCTCGTTCTGAACACCTGGGGCCACAGAATCAGTGTGGCAGTTTGGTGGTGGTGTACTGCGCTGCGGTGTCTGGGCTTTCCTTCTGACGTGGAAACCATTTTCCCAGGAATCCCATGCACCGCACCGTTTGTGTTTCCTGGGAGGCCCGTGCTGGACGCTGAGCCCAGGTCTGGGGAGGAGCCAGGGCTGCCTGGCCCCAGTGGGGGGCAGCAGCGGCCTTCGGAAGGGCTGTGGCTTCCTGTCCAGCCTTCAGTGTAGGCCGGGTTCCTGCCATGCGCTCAGGGGCAGCAGGAGTCTTAGGGATCCGGAAGTGCTTTTGGGTTCTGGCCGGGTCTCGTGAGCTGAGGGCCCGGAGCACGTCCCTGAGCCTGGACAGCGGGGAGCAGCCACCTTCCGTGGAGCAGGAGACTTGGCCGCTGTGTCCACGCCCTGTGATGGCCTCGGGCACTTGGGAGGGCCGAGTAGGCTCCATCAGGCTGTGCGCAGCGTCGGGCTGCGCTCTGGGCCGCGTGGACCTGAGAGTCTCTCCTGCCTGGGCAGTTCGGTGCCACCGAGCTTCCTGTGGTAGCTGGTGGCGGAGGCCCCGGTGCTGTCTGTGCCTCCACCTCTAGACCATTGCTGTCTATACTGAGCCTCCCTCTGGGGCTGGAGCCGCAGGTGGAGCTGGAGCTGGCATAGAGCACTGGGGCCTCTAACATCATGGCGCAGGAGGCATAGGAGTCCCGTTTGGGTCTGCAGTGCCGGTACCAGGACTGCAAATACCCAGCTTGACACCAGCCCCTTTGCAGAACTCGGGGCAGACTGATCGTGACCTGGTAAAGACCATACTGTGATCTGTGGCTAAATCCTGACTGTGATGCCCACACCCCAGCGTGGCCCTGGCTGCTTCCTGCCTACGCTTCTGGCAGTCCTGTGTCCTGTGGGCCTTCATTACCCCAGGCCCCTTTACCCAAAGTCTGGGCTGCCCTTATTGCCGACAGGAGTGACACTGGCTAGACACTCACGGCCAGCTGTCTTCTGTGTCACCATCCCTGATCACCCAAGGATCACTCCAGGGCCACCTTCCTGTCATGCGGCATGGACTTATCCCCATGGTTGGCAATGTGCTGTGGGCCAGGTCTGGGAGCTGTGGCTGAGGTCCATTCTGGCCCCCTGGACTGCCTGACCCCCAGAGCCACCTTGCTGGGTGCAGAGTCATGAGTTGGTGACCTGTGGTGAGCAGGTGCGGAAGGCGTCACCAGGCCCTTCCCCGGCACTGTCCCTGCAGGCTGTTGACTTTCATAACCTCAGAGAACAGCTGACGGAATCGTCCTTACGGGTTCTGCTAGGAATGGAAGGCAGGTGCTGAGCAAGGTATGAATGGGGGGTTTTGGGACCACTGAGCCGGTGAGGGTGATGTAGAGGAGGGGACAGTCGGGGGAAAATGTGGTCATGAAGATCACTGGCCTTTGTGGGGGCAGCAGCCACTGACAGGAGAGCAGAGGCATGCAGAGACGGGCTGGCCTGAGGGGCCGTGGTCTGCCTTGTGGTGGTGTCCCTGTGTGGATAGCATCCTTGTGTGAATGTGGTGGGGCTGCAGTTAGCTTATGAGCCTTGTGGATCTGGTGAAGCCTTGTGGACCAGGGTGGGTGGCTGGCAAGAGGTGGTCAAACCAAGTGCATTGTGGGATTTAGTCAAGAAGATTAGTGGGCAGAGAGAGAGGTGCGGGGAGGAAGGATGCTTGGAGTTGTCTTGAACTGAGGTGGGTGAAGTGTGAGCAGGGCCTGGCGGAGTCTGGTTCCAGGGGCTGTGGCTTGGTGCTGGAGCGCTTGTCTGATGCGTACTCTGTGCACGGGTCTCTGGGTTCGGTTCACACTGGGGTGGCTGATCTAACGCCTTTGAGCCCGTTCTAACTCATGTTTAGAGTTTTGAAGCTGTAATTGGAACATGATGAGTTTGTGTCACTTTGAAACCATGATTGTGTGAATAATTTTGAGTTCCATTAGGCATGACACACCACTGCTTCTCTTTGTGTATGATATTAAGAATCAGATTCATTGCATATTTATATATAGTCAGTAGATTTATGATTGAAATAGCTCCTTTCATTTTTAGGTTTATCTTGACTTAGCATATGACAATCATTTGGAAATAAAGGAAACTATAAAAGGGAAAAGAATAATGGTAATATGAATAAGTTTACAATTATCTTTTTTATGAACAAAATTACCATGAGAAACCTCTGACATTTTGGAAGAACACAGATTGTCTCATTTTTTGCTTAATTTTTTCCTCAAGAAATAACACTTTTTTTTCTAATAGAAAGAACCTTTTACTGGCTGTTAGAAGAATACAGATTTTTGTGTCCTTCCTGGAATTAACCTTTGTTTTCCTGGTTCTAATTTGTGATGATGAACTAAAATTTGGGCTCTAGATATTAAGATGCACCATTGCTGCTGAGAATGAGAAAGCACGGCCTGTAATAATTCTAGGACACTGTCTAGTATGCATTGTATTCTGACTTCAGAGGTGTTAAAAATGGATCTTACATGTAGGAGACAGGATGTGGTGAAATAGAAAAGTAGATAAATAATCTAACATTTTGTTTTATTTTCATTACTGCTATATCATGATTTTGTCAGGAAACTGGAAATCTGTATTCAAAGCCTGCTACGAATGGCATGTTTTATCCCCGAACCAGAAGCTATTATTATTATTATTATTTTGTCTTTTTGAGACAGGGTCTTGCTGTGCATTCAAGCTAGTCTTGGGCTCCCTTTGTAGCCTAGGCTGGTCTCAAACTCCCAACGATCCTCCTACCTCAGCCTCCCGAGTGCTGGGATTACAGGCGTGAGCCACCATGCCCGGCCAGAAGCTATTATTGTAACTGCCGCTGATGTTTCTCTGTTGGGTACTGCTTGTTTGGGGAAGCATCCATGCCCCAAAGCATCCTCCTTATCAGTGCGTTCCAGGACTCTTGACCCCATGGAGCCCTGGGCCTCTCTTCCCCTCCTTGGTCACCTGCAGAAGTAACGCTGCTGTCTCCGCAGATGCCACAGCTGGAGAAGAAACTGGAACTTGAACTCCAGGACGACGCGCGCGTCATCGCATGCCGCTTCCCGTTCCCGCACTGGACCCCAGCACACGTCACCGGGCACGGGGTGGACACCGTGTGGGCTTACGACGTGAGCGCTTTCAGGTCAAGGGAGAAGCGGCCCTGAAAGCAGCATCTTCAGTTGGTTGTGCAGATGTGGTGGTGTGGGTTGGAAATGACTGTTGCTTTCCTTCGCTTTTGGAGGAAACAAACAGAGATTAAGAAAAACAGGCAGATTTAAAGTCCACTTTTAATGGAATATCCAAAAAAAAGGGCATGCACATCCGATGCACTAGGATGTGTGGAAATGTGAGTGAGTCCTGGTGGTGGTCAGGGGCTGGGAGGACATCCACGGCTTTGGACACTGTAAACTGTGGCCCATGCCACAGCTGACAAGACAGTTTATAAAGAGAGCTCGGATTGGTGAATGACCACAGACTCCTATAACTTTATTCACACTTAAGATTTATCGCTTCTGTACTTCATGGAAAAATTAATTTTCTAGAGGATTTAGAGAAGTGTTTGTATGTATAACGTTCATTAGAAATCATTTGCTCCAAGATAGTAGATTGTTGTGTGTTATTGAGTCTAACATGTATATTTGTGTGTGTGTATGTGTGTGCAAATGTGTGTGTATAAACATGAATTTTAACACATCTGGGGTTGTGACATACTGTCTCACTTACTTTTCTCTCATTGCTTAGACAAAATACATAATGCCCAAAATGAAGGGAGGAAAGGTTTGTTTAGCTTACACTGTTGGAGGTTTCAGTCCACACTCAGCTGCCTCCAAGGCAGAGTGACGTAGCTGAGGGGCAGCTGTTCATGGCAGCACAAATGGCAGGAGTCAAAGCGCAAAGGAGGAGAAAGCAGGCCTCCTTCCCTCCCTTACACTGTGTGCCGGCTCTGCCCTGGGCAGGGGCAGCACTCTCACCACCAATCCCAGTGCTGGACAATAGGCCAATCACATCGCTAGACTGAGCCGCCTCCATGACTGCATGAGCTTGGGAAGCCACTTAGACTCAACCATAACAGATACCTTCGATTGAAGGCATTTCGTGGCTTTGACTGGCAGTGCCGTACATCTTGGTGCAGTTCTATGTGAAGTACAATAGACGATGAAATACAGTATTCAGAGAGGCATCATGGTACGATGGAGCAACTGGTAATGACTAGGGAGTAAAGCAAGCAAAGTGTGGAAGCACATGTGTGTAATCCCATTTTGGAGGCTGAGGCAGGAGAGTCACAAGCTTGAGTCCAGCCTGGCAACTTAGGGGATGGAGGAGGAGCTTGCCTGGGTCTTGGGTTCAAACCCTAGTACTCTTCCGAAAGAAAGAAAGCATAAAATAAATGAACGTGAGCTTTATTTGAACCCACATAGGTACAGCTTCATCAGCAGCAGGAGCCTCGGACAGTGGCTTCTCTCTCTGAATCTCAACTTCTGAGCATCCTGTGCTGGAACAGTGAAACACTGCTCGGGAACTGGGGACCACTTGGTGAAGCTCACAGCACATTGTCTGTGCTTTGGTGTGTAAAAATGGCATTTATTATTTTAGACACTAAGGAAAACTTAAGGATGTTGGAAGTGGCAGATTATTTCTGCTAGATGCCTCTTCATTTTATGAGAGTAACCATTTAATATTCTCCTTTATGAGAAGAGAATTGATGGGTTTAGAATAAAGAGGAGGGAACCCTTTGTATATGAGGAGAAAAACTTTATACAGCTAAAAAATGAACATGGCGTGGTGGCTCAGATGATCTTTACTTAGGAAAGAATGGAACTCCTGCTCATTATAACCTGAATACCAAGCTGGTTTAATGGAGACTCAATAAAAACAGGTGGTCGAGTCTTTGAACTGGTAAGAACATGATCAATTTGATGGTTTTTATCCGTGTGAGACCACTCAGTCCTTCATCCGTCCCACTCACTGTTCTGAGTATCCACCCTGTAACAAGCCTTGTCATCCCACAGTGAATGGACATGCTGGCCACTGGCCTCATGGAATCCCTGTTCTAAAAGGGAAAAAAATAAGCAAGTTTCTACGTATGAAGTTCTCTGAAAGAAGTTGCAGTTCCGTGGATCAGCTGTGTTGTTTTGGATGTTTGTTGTGTGGTTGGCTGTTACTGTCCACCTCTTCCCCAATGGCCGCAGTATCCCACAAAAAATGAGTCCTCCCCCATGGTGGGAGGATAGTTCTGAATGTCTGTCTCTCCTTGTCATCCTTCACTCTAGCCAGTCCTGTAGGTTTCCTGGGCACACTTAGAGAAAGCCCCATAGTTGTCTCCTGCATGCAAGTGTGGTGGGTAGAGCCTAGGTTTTGTGGAGCACTGGAGATTTCAGGTTTTCCAGAAGTTTCTCTGGTGGGTTTGTAGAGACCTACAGCTTTGTGCAGTCATTAATAACTTGCTGTCTTTTGAGTCTCTCCTTTAGCTTTCCAAGAACTAGGAGTTGCTTTGTCCTACAACCTCAGAGTAAGATTGTAGAGGTGTTGTGATTCACAGACTCTGTGGGATCTGGAATTGCTTTGTAAAATTGTGGTTCGTAAATTAATGTGTGCAATAAAGGTGTTTCCCTCTGGCTTCTTTTTCTTTATCAATTATTTGATTAAGGACATTTATGAAATTTGCTTATGACACAAGGTAGGGAATGAGAGCTAGTGTGTTTGATGCCAAAGTTAGATTCATAAATATCCACACAGACTGAAGCCAGAGGCTAGTGCTAACTTGATAAAATCAAATAAGAGTCAGTACAGGGCTGGTGATACAGCTCAGTTGTAAAGTGCTGGCAGGAAGGGAGAAGGATGGTAGTCTAGGAGACATTTTTCCCAGCAGGAGTCTGGATCTTGGGGTTCCCATTGACACCTGGGCCAATGTTTTAGGAGCACTCGCCTCTAAATGCATCTTTCTCCAAACGTGTGGTACCCAGGATATGACCCGTGTTCCCCAGTGTGCCAGGCAGGCCTCATTAGACCCTTGGCAGGATCTGGTGTTCACACTCCCTCAAATCTTTAGCCCTACCAAGTGCACATAAAACCACTTTTGAAGGTTTAGAAATGAGTTACTCCTCCGGATACACTGTGTTTGTTTCCCATTGCTGGGACACAGTGGACACCCTGGCAAGTCACAGTTAGAGAAGACAAAAGCAAGATTCTTGACATTTAAATTACCCAGCTGGACACCATCCCTCTGCCAAAGACCTTTCCCTGGTCCTGAAGCCGTGAACCACCTGTCTGTGAAGACAGAAACGTTGTGCAGTCCAGGAGTCTGGTAAGCCTGGGGTGTGACAAGTGTTCTTAGCGCAGTCTTGGGTGATCTAGCCCTGGCTGATGCATTGTGGGAAAGACCTCTTAATCATCATGGAGCACAGGACAGGAGTCTGCTTAAATCTCAACAGACAGTTGCACAAACAGGAAACACTCGGTTGTGGCATGTCTTGTGGCTCTTGGAACCATACCTGACCTCGTGTACCCAGTGCTTCACTGAGCCGTCATCTGGGCCATGGTGGTAGCATGTCCTCACCCAGCTGGGCAGGACGCTTCACTGGCCTCTGACCCAGGCAGCCCGTCCTGGAGCAGAGGATGCTCATGGACCCTGAAGAAGGTGGGCCAGCCTTCTTGCTTCTGACCTTGCAGCCATTTGCCCCATCCTGCTAGCACAATCCTCAGGTTTTCAGGCCAGGCATTGGCGTGTTCAGGAAGATGGGCCCGACCCCTTTTCTGATCCCTCCCTCTTTGCCATGGGTGCCCAGGTGCCCGGGTGGTTGGGTGGCAGTGGGCACGTGCACAGCTGCTGCTGGGAATTGGAGGGAAGTCTGGCAGGAGCTTTGGGAAGGGTCTCTGTTGCTAAGAGACTGATATGCTCCAGAAGTGTGTCGCCTTGCAGGATTTGGATGTGCTCTATCCTGGAAGCTTTAGCAGTCATTCTGTAGCCATGACGGAAGGCGGAGCTGAAAGCTGAGATATGGAGCAGACAGGAAGACTGTGTCCCAATCCTAATGATGGTGCTGAGCTGCTGAACCAACCTGGAATCCCCGCCCCCCCAGGACTTCTCTGAAAGTTACGTGGTGTGTCCATAGTGTTTCACATTGCTGTTCCATGTGTGTTACTTGTACCTTCAGGGACTTTGGAGCTAGGAGAGTTGGGAGGCTGACCTGGGGTGAGGGAGCCAGCAGGAGTGCAGGAGGCAGTGTTTTCTAGCAAGGCTGGGAGGGATGGCTGGAGAGTGTGAGGCGTGGGGTTCTCAGGGCCAGGGGCCATTCATTGAGGAGTCCCCAGAACTGTTATTTGGGGTGTTGCACCAAGTTAAGAGGACTCTAACATTGAACCAGGCTCTTGAAGCTGAACAAATGGCTCCTTAGGGACACCAGTCACCTTGGGAGGGTGTCCCATTCTTGGGGACATGGCAGAAGGGGTGAGTGTCAGCCTAGCCTCAGCCGAGGTCTGCCTAGGCAGAAGTTGGCTCTCCGCACTGGAGAGAAATCAGCTGTAGGACCTCCGTGTGTAGGAGCTGGCCACTCAGAGGAGCCAGTCAGCTCTGACCTGTCTTCTCCAGCCCTGGTCCATGTTTCCTCAGCGCTCATGAAGAAAGAGAGCAGCAGAAGCCTTGTTGCAGAAGCGTTCCTTGGCGGCTTGTGGGAAGGGAGGTGAATGTGGTGGTCGGTGTTGTTGGGCTTCGTTGGCTCCCGAAGCACCGCTGGGCCCCTGTGGGTGACTACTGGGCTCCAGCCGGCAGTGTGCTTACTCGGGAGGCCTCCTGGGAGGAGACTCCTTTGGGCTCCTGCTCCTGACTCCCATGTTCTAGCCCCACACTAACAATGGCTTTGATGGATGGTATTTAGACACAAAATGGAAAAGGAAACAGAAGAAGCCATGTGGATAAATGGAAATGAATTCTGGATGTTTTGAAGACATTCTTAGAGGCACAGTTGTAGAGGTTGTAACTGTCCCCTTTGGAGCAAAGGATGTTGAAAGGCAGCATGGCAAGGTTTGTCAGTATTTGATGGGTTGCTGTGTATTAGTCAGCTCTCTGGTTGCTACATTGTACTCACAGTTTAAAGGAGGGGAAGTTTATGTGGCTCATGGTTTCCAGTAGGTTCAGTCCATGTTGTGTGAGGGGGCTTCAAGGCAGAAACAGCCTCCAAGGTGGAAGAGCGTGATGGAGGAAAGCTGCTCAATCCAGAGCAGCCAGGAAGCAGAGAGAGAAGGGAGGAGCAGGGACCAGAACACACTTTCCCAGGTCACATCCTGAGGGCCCCTCCTTATCACAGTCAGCTACCAGACTCATCGGTAGATGAATCCATTGATGAGTACAGCACCCCATGATCCATCCACCTTACACACACACACACACACACACACACACACACACAAGACTTTGGGGGACTTGTTTAATCTGAAATTTAATACTATGTAGAGGAGAGGGAAGTGCTAGGGTGTCTTAGTTATTTTTCTTTCATTGCTGAGATAAAAATACCTGACATCCAAAGTTAAAGGGGAAAAGGTTTACTTAGCTCATAGTTTGCAGAGGTCCATAATTGGCTGGCTCCAAGGCAGGGGGCACTTGGAAGAAGGCAACAATTTGTGATGGTGGAAGAGAGCAAAAGCAGCAACGGAGAGAAGTGAGACTAGCCTCTTTCTATTGGGGTGGTGCTGGTCCAATCAGTGGACTGAGCCAGCACTCACCCACCCTTAATCCTAGCACTGGACCATGAATCAGTCACACACTCTAGATTCAGCCTCCAAAACAGCCCCATCTAAAGCTGCATGAGGCTTTGGGGGCACAGCTAGACACAAACCATAACAACAGGGGTTCCATGTGCTGTTTCCCCTCGTCATCCTGGGGAGGTGGTATCGTCTCCATTTTTTATTTTTTAAATTTAAGTTCAGGGAGTCATTGCCATCTTGCTCAGAGTGACAGTCTGACATGGGAACATGAGATTTTTATTGTATTCATTTGCTTCTGTGGAATTAGACTGTTCTGCTTGGTTTTAGAGAGCAAACCAGGGTCATTGGGGTAGATGCTCAGAGGATGGCAGCAGTTGAAGCTCGATTATGAGGTAGTAAAGTCTCTGTGAAGTCATTTCGGGTTAGAATGTGTGGCCTTCCTTCTCCCTGGAGACAGAGCTGAGGCCAGATGGCCACTTGGTGGAGATGTTGCAGAAGGGAGCTGTCTGCTGCAGCCTGGAGTCCTGAGATGACCTGCAGTGTAGCAGGACCGCCTGGCTCCCCTGCTCGGCTTCCAGGCAGGGTCTGTGCAGTATGGAAGCAGCCTTCAGCTGTGAGGGTGCCTCACACCACGCAGACAAATTTAGCACCCTACAAACAGGAGATGTTGGCTGTGTTTATGTTGGTTTTGCAAAAACAAGGTGGTCAAAATATTGGGGAGCTGATGCATGAAGATAAATTCAATCAGAACTCCACCCATGAAGGGTGCAATTTCAGGAAAGCTGGAGTCCATGACAGCTGTGGTGGATTAACTAATGGGCAGCTTGTAATGCCCAGCTGAACTGAATCAGCGTGGTGCTGGATGTGGAAGGCCCACCTGAGGGTTGTTGCCAACTGCATCAAAGCAGAAGTGGAGGGCCGGATGCTGTGCTGTTGGTTCTCTTGGGGAAGCTTGTTGCACTGGCCTCCTGATGTGAACTCACTGTTCTCACTGTGGGATGAGTTTAGTTCTCCGCTGTCACAGAGGATGGCTGCTGTTCTCTTTGGGGGAGCCCTGGTCCTCACTTTGAGCATTGCTTCCTGGCTCCAGTGCAGATTCCTCAGCCTGCTGGCACAGATCCTTCATCCTGCTGGTGCAGACTTTCTAGCTTCCACCGCTAACCTTTGGGCCTTCCCAGTGCAGACTTGCATGAGAGATTGTCATGGGCTCTAGGCCTTTAGCTAGACTCATGGAGGACACTGCCATGGGCTCTAGGTCTTTATGTGGACTTGTGCAGGACATTGCTGTGGGATCCAGGTCCTCAGCTGGATTCTTTGGGTCTCTAGTGGACAGATTTCTGCATTTGACTCTGGGTGAATATTATAAAATAACCCTGTGAATTATATGTTCTGTATTAAATCTAGTCCCCTGTAAACACTGCCTATAACAACATCCCACAGGATTTAGCTGGAGCGAACTCAGTTTTGTTAACTCTACTGGTTGAAGCCAGGGGATTGTTCCTGAAGCTCCTGGTGGGCACAGCATGAGTGGTGCCTGGTGTGCTTCTAAGTGACACTTCTCTTCCCTTGGGCCTTGTCAAGGGAGGAGCCGTATGTGCATGCAGTGTGTCCCATCCCTGCCCCAGATGACCAGTCCGGGCTTGGGCGTCTGAGCCCAAGACACACTACGGGCTGGCCAGGGAAGAATTGTAACTAGGAAGCCGAGAGATTGGGGATTGCTATGGTTTCTGTCTAGATGTTTCCTCAAAGGCTCGTGTGTGTTCATAGGTAGGGCATTGGAAAGGTGATCGCGTCCTGGAGGTGCTACAGCTGACTTGCTGTCAGGAGGTGGGTGCAGTCCAAAGAGGAGGGTAACTGGAGGCATGACCTGGAAGGGTTTATGTGACGCCCCCACGCCTTCCTGCAATTTCTCTCAGCGCCCAGGATGTGAGCAATTTTTCTTCCTAGCGCTCCACCTCTCCGCCACCCCCTCACCATGCCCCCCACTCCCACCAAGCCCCTGCCACAAAGTCACGCCCCAAACACACCCCTCACCACGCCCCCTCCCCGCCCCTTGGAGTCTGCTGACTGCGAACTGAAATGTGAGCCAAAATAACCTCTCTTCTAAGTTGCAAGAGTGAGGTTTTGTGTCTCAACAATGAGAAAGGGACCTAAACAGGGAAAGAGAAATAGGAACTAAGGGCAGGAGGTTGAGGCCAGAAGACCTGCAGTGGCAAGAGAGTGAGAGGGTCCTGAGGCTGGCGGGCCCTCCTTCCTCCCGGACCCCCCTCCTGCCAGGCAGCAGGGGCACAGCCCAGGGGTCACTGCCGTGGCCTCCCCTGAGCAGGCTGAGTGAGCTGGTTCTGAAGAACTCCATCATGAAACAGACTTTCGTGATCCGAAGAGTCTCCTTGTTCCAGTGGGTACCGAACACGAGGGACTTCTAAGGCCCATATATTTAAGCATAAAAGTGAATATTTATACAAATGTAGGGTAGCTGGGCCTAAATTGCACAGCCAAGTGCCTCACCTCAGGGCGTAAGCTGCGGGGAGCTGGGGAGCCTCCAAGCAGGACTCCTCACCCATCCAGCTGGGTTGTCTGCCATAATGACACATTATGATTATGTCGGAATTGGCGCACTTGTGACTCAATGAACTGATGCAAATTGAACATGAGCAAAAAGATCGTATAACTTTTATAGGTGAGGGGAATTAGATGTCTTATTTTTCTAATTTAATACTGCAGTGGGAACATTCTCTGGGGAGGATGGATAAAGCGATGGCTCATTGATCACCAGGCTGCATTCAAGGGTGGAGGGGAGACATCAGGTTAGTTTTCTTCTCTGTCATGTTGTGGGATGGAAAATCGGCAGGAAAAATCATGTATAACAAGAATGAATCCAAGTGTCACAGTGGTGTCACAAAACTCCACGGGTATTCTGGACTTGGTGGCTGCGTCCGGGCGGTGAGCTCCAACAGGGTGTGCTGTGATACACACACACTGTCAGGGTGGCAGAACGCATTGGGCTAAATCCCAGGTGTTATGGATCAAAAACTGGTGGTCAACTTAAAGCCAGTGGAATCAAAGCATGGTGCTGAGTGTAGATGTCCCACCTGAGGAAAGTTGCATAAATAGAGACGTGGAGAATGAGAAGAGAGGCATTGAGGTGTTGTGTGTTCTGCTAAGTGTTGCTGTTAGGAGCCATTGGTTCTCCTGAAGGAGCTTGTCATGCTGGCTTCCCCAGTGTGAGTTCGACCACTGTCTTCGGAGGAGCTCAGGACGTTGTTGGTGAGAGGGGCTGTGGTTCACTTTGGGGGAGCGCTGGTCCTTACAGTGAGCATTGCCTCTTGGCTCTGGAGGGGAAAGACCTGTGCTGTTTAACCTCCAGGATGAACTCATCACGCTGGCTTTCTGACATGCACTCAACTGTTCTTATTGTCGAGGAGCTTGGGACTTCCGAGTTGCTGAGGACGGCTGTGGTGCTTTTCAGGACAGCCTGGGTCTTTGTTGTGAGTGTGACTTCTCAGCTCCAGCATAGAACTCTCAACCTGCCAGCACAGCTCCTTCACCCTGCTGGCATAGACTTTCTAGCTTCCACTGCTGACCTTTGGGCCTTCCCAGCACAGATCCATAAAACAAACTGGTGTGAGTCCTTCTTGTGGGCTCTAGACCTCCAGTTGGACTCGTGGGAGGCATTGTCATGAGCTCTTGGTCTTCATCTGGACTCATGCAAGATATTGCTGTGGGATCCAGGCCTTCAGCTAAATATTCTGTGTCTTTATTGTTCTGGACAGATTTCTTGCACTTTCTTGTGTTAACTCTGGGTGACCATCATAAAATAATATTATAAATTCTGTGTCCTGATTCTAATTGTTCTTCTCCCAATCCCTGAGTACAACACCAGGGAAGCAGAGCTGGCTGGCAGTCAGCAAAACTGCAAGGCAGGCCAAGCTTCCCCTCGCTGGTGGTCCGTGCTGCTCACCCGCGCCACCCTCTGGCACTTCCCCTGGATCACTGTCCCATGCGACCTCATTTTTCACATGTGTGCTAGTCTTTGAATTCAGTGTTAGATGACATTGCTATTTCCAAGGGCACTGGCATTTTCTTAAGAAACCCTTTACTATGCATTTGATTTTAGAAAGACTGAAGGATTAATTTGAAAATTATTGTCAGGCTTTTGCTTCCTCTCTGGCCCTCACTCTAGTCTACCCACCCCTCTGACATCTCCCTGACTGCTCAGAAAGACAAACTGGAATCACTGTAAGATTTGCCTTGATCCTAAGTATTAATGGCGAGTGAAAATTCATAGTCCAGAAATTATAAGCCTAGCTTTCATATTCTGAGTTTTTATACCACGTTATAGCTCTTTAAACACATTTCAAAATTCTCCTACTAGCTGAAGGCTAGATAAGATACTTCTTAGTTGGCTAAACTGAGTCAGGTAGGCAGTCATACGCTTAGCAGGACATGTGCACCAGTTAGGAAGTCGTGGAGCTGGGATTGGAACCCAGGCCTTCCTGGTGATGCCAAGGTCCAGGCAGCGTCCTCTGTGCCACTGTGTGGCCAGGCCATGGCGAGGGCTCCACTGCTGTGGGATTAACCTCATCTGCTTAGTGAGCCTGGGTATCAGCAGCCTGTGAGTACCTCCCAAGCATGTGTCCTGAATCTCAGCTGGTTTCCGGAGGGCACAGTGGCCTCTGAGTTAGAAGCACAAGCCTGAGGCAATGGAGGAGCAGCAGATTTACCAGAATTATTCTGCCTACTTGAAAATGGGCAGATGCAAGAGCACTGGGATCCCTGCGTCTAGATTAGACCTAAAACGACTCCCAAAGCCTCCGCTGTGCTTGGATTTCAGGGGCTTACAACTGACCCGCTGTTGGGAGGTGGGGCCTGACCAGAAAGACCTGTCACTGCGCCTTGACCCAGACAGGCCTGTCTCCCTCCCGCCTCCTCCCTTTGCTCTCTGCCAGCACCCCAGTGGCTCCCCTCTGCTTGCTGTGGCCCTGCCTTGGAGCCAGCTCAGCACGGACTGAGACCTCTATAAACTAGACCAAAATCAACCTCTCCTCTTTTAGCCTGGGTGTTAGGTATTGTTAAGTCCCTGGGATGAGAGCATTAATGGAAACGATCACCGTAGTGGGCGGAGTGCTTTGATAGCCCGGGGTGGCTCAGTGACACTGAGGCACCTCAGGAGAGAAGGGTGACATGGCATGGGATGCCACTTTAGGGACCTACAAGGTTCTTGGGCACAAGTAGTGCCACAGAGCTTACCTGCCATCCATGCCATTGTGCCTCAGGCCCAAGACAGAGCAAGGCAGGGGTGCTTCTGGGGGAGATCAGCCACTCCTTCTGTATCTGCTTAAAAAGCAGCAGATTGCTTTGGCTAGTGTTTCCAGCAGTGGTGATCGTGGACATCCTTGTCTTTTTCCTGATCCAGAGTGAAAGCTTTCAGGTTTTGTCCATTTAGTATGACGCAGGCTGTTGGTTTGTTGTAGATGGCTTTTATCAGATTGGCATAAAGACCATCTATTCCAATTTGTAGGATTTTTATCATGAATGGGCGATGGACTCTGTCAAAAGCCTTTTCTGCATCTGTAGAGATGATCATGTGATTTTGGTCTTTGGCTCTGTTGATGTGGTGGATTACATTTATTGATTTGCTTATGTTAAACCATCGCTGCATTCGTGGCATGAATCCCACTTGATGGTGACATATAATCTTAATGATTTGCTGCATGGCTGAAAGAGTAATAAGATCCAAAATGTACAACAGATATTGTGATAATGAAAGGGGAAGAACGTGATAAAAAGGAAAGAACAGCTGGGATGGGGAAAGGAGAAATGACCAAGGAAAAGATTGTTTGTATGTTGGTAAACATATATAAAGTTATGTATATATTAAAGAAAGGTAGGTATGTATTTGTATGCAAGATGGATAACTATAATATCAACCTCTGTTCATCAAAAAGAACAGTGTGTGCTTGTCATTGTTTATTTTTATACCTAGATCTTGTAATCTGAGCAACTACTGCTAAGATAACACTGCAATATATTAGCTAGTGTTAATTTCCTAACGCCACTGTTTTTTAATTTTGAAATTCTGTATCTACTCTTTTTCTTTCTGTTTTGCTTTCTTAAAAAAATGCAGCAGAAAGGGCCCCACACACCAAGAGCCACTTACTTGCCTGCTGAAGCTTCAAATTCTACTGTCACGATTCAGAGCTACACTTCCTTTGTTGAGGAAAACTGCAGACAGACAACAGGGCATCCACGCTGCGCTGACGTCATTCTGAGCAGTGGCGGTGTGGAAGGTAATTGGTGTCATAGCAACAGGTCACAGCACTGCAGGCTGCCATCAAGGGCAAAGCCCAGGGGGAGAGGTGTATGACAACTGCTTCCACTGATGTAAAAACGTGCTCATGCTTGCACACACACCTATGTGGACAAAAGCACACACACACACATATGCACACACATGCATATTCTACCAAAATTAATCTTTGAGTATATAATAAAGTGATTGGCTTTTACCCCTGGGGAGCACGGGTGGGAGGCAGGGCAAGAGGTGAGAAGAGCATTTCTCCTTTATTGTACATTTTAAAGTAATTTTTGTGTTCTTATTCTGTGTATTCATGACTTCCTGATAAAATAATTGATTTTTTAACCATTTGCAATTCAGATGGAAGATTAGCGTTGATTCACATGCAAGATGCAGAAGTGAACGCCCATGTGCAAGAGATGACCATTTCACACTGATGTGGGGCTGAGACTGCAGGGGTGCTGTGGATACTGGTTCCCGGTACTCTGGCAGTCAGGGCTTGGGGGCACTGCATGCAGCGTGCAGCTGAGTGCACACAGGACGCAGGACTGAATTTCAGCTGCTCCTCTCAGGTAAATGCTGTCTGATCTCCAAGTCTTCTCCTCCTCCATCCTGTTGTATCTTTCTAATAAGACAGAATCATACTTGGTGAGGTTTAAGTCAGCAGCTCAAAGAACTAAACAGAGAGAGAAACAGACAGATGGGGGGCGGGACAGGGAGAGGACAGGAGAGGACATGGCGTGGGATGAAGAGGAGCAGCTTTGGCCGACACCTGTCTTCCGGGGTGACACTTTCCCCTCAGCCCACCCCCATCTCCTGGCCATGGCCCCTCTCCAGCTGTCCCTGCTCCTGCCCTCCCCCTTCATTTGTCCTTCTTTGCTTTGCCTGAAAAGTCAGTGCTAACTTAGGACTGGTTATGCCCAACAGATAAAAGCCAACACACTCTGTTATGGTTAGGATAAAGTGTCCCCTCAGAGTCTGAAGGCTTCTGGCTTTTAGATGGTGACTGGATTGTGAGAACTCTCCCTTCATAAAGGGGATTCATCCATGGGTGAGGCCATAGTTTGATGATGCTTGTTATGGATTAAGAACTGGTGGTCAACTTAACGCCAGCTGGATTACATCAGCATGGCATTGAGTGAAGATGCTCCACCTGGGGAAAGTTGCCAGCATAAACAGGTGGAGAAGAAGGGAGGTGTTGAGGGTTGAGGTGTTAAGGAGGCATTGTGGATTCTCCTCCGAGTTGCTGTCTGAGCTGTTGGTTCTCCTGGAGAAGCTTTGGTCCTCACGTCGAGCATTGCTTCCTGGTTCCGGAGGGGAAGACGTGCTGCTTGGTCTCCAGGATGAACTCGTTACGCTGCTTTCTGGCATGTACCCAACTGTGCTTGTTATCAGAGGAGCTCGGGGCCTCCGTGTCACTGAGGACAGCTGTGGTGCCTTTCAGGATAGCCCTGGTCTTTGTGAGTGTGACTTCTCGGCTCCAGCGTAGAACCCTCATCCCACTAGCACAGCTCCTTCATCCTGCTGGCATAGACTTTCTAGCTTCCACTGCTGACCCTTGGGTCTTCCCGGCATGGATCCGTAAAAGAGACTGGCATGAGTCCTTGTGGGCTCTAGACCTCCAGATGGACTCGTGGGAGGCATTGTCCTGAGCTCTGGGTTTTTATCTGGACTCATGTGGGACATTGCTGTGAGGTTTAGGCTCTTGACTAAATAAATCTATATCTTTGGTGTTGTGGATAGATTGCTTGCATTTTCCTGTGTTAACTCCCAGTGACCATTATAAAAATAATATTGTAAACTCCATGTCTTGATCCTGATTGTTCTCTGTGTACATCCCCTGACTACAGCAATGCTACTGGGGTAGGGGAAGCAAGTGTTGGGGCCAGGCTGAGGGATGCATCCTGGGGTGTGCAGGGGCAGGAGGGCACCATGGCCAGTCCCAAACCCCTCCTCTCAGGCTCGTTCTGCCCCCACTTCTTGCTGCTGTGAGGTGAGCAGCTGTCCTCTGCCATGCTGACCCTCACCATAGGCTTCAAGCACTCCAGCCAGCTGGCCGTGGACTGAAGCCCCAAAACAGTGAGTTAACATCGACCCTTCCTTTTAGAATTTGTTTGCGCTGGGTGTTTTGTGACAGGAACAAAAAGCCAACTAGTAATTTCTCTTTTGCTATTTGTATTATCTAACGAAGGATGTATTGGGCAGAAGAGCAAGTGACATACACAGATGGCACTGACTGGAACTTTCAGGTTCTCAGCTCTGGTCTGCAGAGTAGTTTTGGTGGCTTTGGAGTCCTGCACAGATGTATCCCGGGCTGGCTGTTTGCGCCTGGTTCCTAAGGCAGCCGCCTGGTTCCTAAGGTGACCTGCTTTACGTCGGCTCCTGTTAGAAATGTCTTCCTGTATTCAGGTGAAACCTGTGTTCTATGTATTTATTTATTTTTGGCACTTTTCATCTCTTGGCCTGATTTCACCTTTGAGAGCACTTTGGGCAAATCTAAAACGTTCACTATGAGACGGGGCCGGCCTCTGGGCCTCTCTCATCCCGTAAGTCGCCTTTTCCCGTGCATTCTTCACGAGACGCTGCCTCCCAGACCAGCCAGCGTGGAAACTGTCTTTCTCCCGTGGCTGCTGCAGTCAGGCAGCCCTCAGTGCTGAGGAGAACAGAGCCCAGGTCCTCTGGCTCATCCTGGGAGAGGCCTGGACCTTCCCTCTCGGCCCCCACGCCCACATCGTGCTCTGTGCAAACCACAGAAGTGCAGTTGTTGTCTGACCCAGCGGGGTTTCACGTGGTGGAAGGAAGTGAAGAGCCCTCAATAAAGTCTTTTAAAGTGGTCATCGTGTTAGCTTGGTCCACTGCTGTGGCTTTTTAGGCCGTTTGGACTGTAATGCGGCCCCTGGAACAGGTGATGGCCCCTGTGGACCTTCCGTGTCAGCCGTCTCAGCTTTGTCCCTGGGGAGAACAGCCACACACCTGGAGAGAGACTGCGCTGTGAATGGACACCTGAGACCTCCTGCTGGGCTCCCCCACCCGGACAGACACAGATGCCATCCAGGGTGCCCTGTCCACGCCACCGAGGACTTGTCCTTAGGTTTGGACTCTACTGGGCGATGCTCCTTCCCGCTGCTGTTTTTCAGGTCTGACTCCGAGGTCACGGGACGAGGGTGTAGCCAGGTTGGCAGCCTGCGGGAGCAGCGGGGGCATCTCAGACTCTCCGTGGGGAGGGGAAGACGCCCGGGGTGGGGGGCACCATCCTGCTGCACCAGCCGCACCATTCCTCGTCATCCTAGGCCTAGTGCTCTTGGAGTTGTAGGATTTTTTTTAAGTCTAATTGCTAGGAGTGGTGGATATGCCTGCGACCCCAGCTCTCTGGGAGGCCGAAGCAGGAGGAGCACACGTGGGAGGCCAGACTGATGGCCACGTTAGTGACTTAGTGAGACCCTGCCTCAAAAATAACAAATAAAGGACTAGGAATGCAGCTCAGTACAAAGGCCCTAGGGCTGATCCTCAGCTCAGTCATAGAAGTAATAGTAGGTAAATAAATGTAAAATTTAAGAAATAAAGCAAATCACCCTGATGTGATTCACTCCCACCCCGGTGACCCACCCTGTCTCCTGTGGCCACGGCTCCCTTTTTGTGGACGTGAAGAATCCTCCCAGGCTCTGCTGTCTCCTCAAGTCAGCATCACACTCCCTTTTGTCTGTAGTTTTGAGAGTCAGCCTCTGTCGGGGACCACAAATTCACCATGGCTAATTTTGCATGCTTCCCCGTGGGGTAAAATGGAGGCTTGGGATTATCAATACCCCCTACCTAGGATTGACGCTTCTTACCGGACAATCATCTACGCCCTCTGGAGTCCTCCAGGATTCTGCTCCAGGACAGATCTGGGGACGCCGACCACCCAGCCACTGATTCTGTGTTTATTTTTCTGGCTGCACTTTTAGGACAGACAATCGGGACTCTCAGCCGGGCTCGTGCTGGGTCTCTCTCACCATTTCAAGACTCACAACATTTTCACACTTCAGACGCCAGCGGCTCTCTGTTCCACAGTTTCTCTATGTGGCCAGGAAGAGTTTGTTTATTTACCCAGATACTCCCATCTCTGGGCACTGTGGGGTCCTCGGATGCTGGGTGAGTCGATGTGTTAGAGCAGGTAATGGGCAGGACCATCTTCCTGTGCACTGAAAAACTCTGGCTGGAATGCATGGCCATCCCTGTTCTGTCTTTAAAAATTTTCCTTTTGCTGTTGGTAACTAGAATTTCAGTAATGTTAGTTGTTTCCTAAGTGGGTCAAAATGTGGATGTTTTAATGAAAAAGTTTCCTCTTTGAGTAGTTAGAGTTCAGTTTTCTCTCATGAGTAGTTAGCAGACCCTTGCCCCGGACTAACAGTTTTTCATGTATCACTTCTCAGTTGCAGTGTGTGTCTGGGGGCCACAGGTTTCCCAGATCGAGCTGTCCGTGTCCCACTCACCACATCGGTGCTTTGCTTTGTGTCCATTCTTTTCTGCTCCGCAGCTGTTTCCATCCAGGGCTGCAGCCACCGGCTCCCCTCCTCCTCCCTCTGACCCTCGAGGTCAGTGTCCCTTGCCTTTTCTTTCCCGCGTCTTGGGTTTGTGCCTTGGTGTGTTCCATGTGTGCTGCCCGTCCCCAAAGGGACATCAGGTCTTTTCTTTCCCCATTCTGTTTTTTCTGAATGCAACATTTAATTGCAAAACTCAGCCCCCAGTGAAGACCCTCCACACTTAACCAGGCTTCCCCGCCTGTGTGTTACTCTGTGTTTCATGTTTTGTCTTGTGGCCTGTCTGCTGATCAGCACCCCTTTTGTTTCCAGTAAAAGCAAGGAGAGCTTCCTTGCTTCCGCCCTCTTCCTGCTTAGGCCGAAAGAAGAGCAGCTCCAGCGCTCAGCACTTCTCCGAGGAGGGCCGGTGCCCGGCTGAGGTCTGGTTTATTCTCTCCAGTTTTGCCCACATGCAGTGATGTTGTATCTTCAGTCACTGGGCGGTTATTTCGTGAGGCTGGCTTTTATTAGATGCTGTCTCATATGGGCACGTTTGAAATCATTTAAGGACAGTTTCCATTCAAAACAGAAGGGTCTGACTTTTATTTCAGGCCTCAAGAGAATTACTTTGCTGTTAAGCACAATGGATTATGTTTAAACTGTTCTCAACAAACAAATATTTTATTATTTGTGGGTCAGATTCTGTGAACTGTGAGCAAACATGGAAATAATTTGGACTGATTATGATGGATTCTTTCCCAGAAGCAAATGAACTATTGATGGGATTAAAACAAGAAGGGGGTTTTATGTACGAGAAGGGAAGGTTGAAGGGAGTGATCTGTAATGTACTGACAATATTTCACCCTGAGCAGGGGAAAGTTTCAAAGCAGGCCTTATGATAGTTTTCCTTCAGTGTTCAATCCTTTCTTCAGAAAAACAAGCAAAATCTGTCCAAAGAAATGGGAAATATATTCTGAGTGTAGTCTGGTAATGCCATCATGGGTAAGTGCTACATAGAAACGTTTTAACTTAGTATTTTATGGTGCTAATGACGGGTAGTGAAAGGCACACAC